TCATACAAAGAGATATTTGAGAGAGGTTTCACATACTTGGAGAGATTTGACATTCTTGGAGAGATTTCTCATACAAAGAGATATTTGAGAGAGATTTCACATATTTGGAGAGATTTGGGAGACATTTGACATTCTTGGAGAGATTTCTCATACAAAGAGATATTTGAGAGAGATTTCACATACTTGGAGAGATTTGAAATTCTTGGAGAGATTTCTCATACAAAGAGATATTATAGAGAGATTTCACATACTTGGAGAGATTTGGGAGAGATTTGTCACAGAGAGAGATAGAGCGAAAACGATTGAGGGAGGTTCCATGTGTGACAATTGTGAGTGTTTGGCTCCGCAATGCAAGGTTCTTGAGCCCCGTTAAGTCATGATTAAGGATCCCACACACTTCCGATGAGTATGCAACATGGTTTTTATCAGTTTAGTTCATTGATTAGCACTAAGGCTTAGGAAATTTTAACACAAGACTTTTCCCAAGTGATGTTTTCCCATTAATATAGCAAGTTATACAGTATGAACATAACACAAACCCTAATACACAAGGTTTAATCGAGTTGACCGGTTTGACTTGATGACTTGACTTGACTCAAGATTGGCGATTGTCACAATTTTGATTTATGCTTTAGTGTCTATTATAATTTGATAGAACATAGTTGTATAATAATTATATTATTAATGCAATGGATGATGTTGTTGCTTGTTTACTACTTTTCATTGTTGTGATACTGTACATGACGTCCTCCCCCCCCAGAACGTTTTCGCCGTTCTTGGTTTTGGGGTGTGACATTATCCAAGTGGAAGACTGTTGAATTAGATGTCTACCCATAACTATTATTAATATGTACTCGACCCGAGAGTAGTATGGTCCAATTGGATTGCATATCATCAGAAAAATTTGTTAGGATGGACTCTTGAGAGAATGTTATATATGATTTATTAATATATTCTATTATATTAATATGAAATCATATGTTTTAATTAGTATTGATCAAGAATTAATTTAAAATTAATTTAGTGATCAAAAGAGACTATTTAAATCTATGGGGACTAATTATGGTAATTAGTTATATCTCTATGTGTTGTGCTTATGATCCATGTTGGATCAAGTTTCTGTATGGATACATAAAGAGTTGGGCCACATGAACCATGGATCATAAAACCCATGGGTATGGATTTGGGTTATACCATGACTCTTGAAATTACACATATAAATATGTAGTTCATCACCTAAAAACGCTACATGAATTTCTTAGTGAATTATGGAGGTTTTTGGGTGCATGGAATTCTCTCTTAAGAGTCACCTTTGTTCTAGGTGAGTTGTGATTTCATTTGAGGTGCAACACTTGGGGTACTAAGTTCTTAAATGCCAAAGTCTTTCTAGCAACATCAAATTAATCAAGACTTCAAGCCACATAAAATGTATGTTACCCAAACTAGTATCTTGTAGAGTATATGACAATTGCATGCTAGTTATAGGCTTAATACCTTGGAAAAACCTTTAGATGTATAATTAGTGAAAACATAGATCCAATGTATTTAAGGTTGTATGTGCAACATAGGATGTTGTAGTATACGAAACCCATCAGTAATAACATAACATACAAGCACATAACTCTCAACAGATAGTGGCATGCCATAAAATTATCACAAAGACAATCATTTCTACTATAAACAACTACTAGTGAGTCGATATTGGTGCCTTCAACCCACCTATACCGGGAAAGTAACTCACCTCGAAAACTGGAAGTAGTTGAGCAGTCCCTGGCTCCGAATATCAACCCAACTCAATCCCCTACACATAAAAGATTTCCTTAAGCAACCCTTTCATACTCATAACCCCTTAAAGGTCAACTTCGGTCCAAGTCAAAGTCAAAGTCAACGCTCTGAGTTGACTCAACTCGTCAAGTTTTCCCTTCAACTCACCGAGTTAACACGGATCATAGAGTCCTGAAATTGTGATCCAACTCGTCGAGTTTTCCTCCAACTCACCAAGTTCTTCCTTTTCAACAGAATCGGGACTCCTAAATACAAATCGTCAAGTCCTTCTGTGAACTCATCGAGTTCTTCAGTCTGTTAATTCTTCTTAATGCATTACATAATTATTCTTCAGATCTACACCCTATAATACCTTTCCTAAAGGGATTAAGCTCAAACTCTAACCCAAAAAGGCCAAATTTTTAATCCAAACACCACCAAAACTACAAAATAGACTATGAGGTCATAGATTTGGACTCTAAGGACAAAAAGATCACATAAAGTCCCAACTTTTTCTACATACATGGCTATTAGAAGCTCCAAAAGGCCAAAATGATGGTATAAAGGTTGCATGGGACTTCCATGGCCAAAAAGTTGGCACCTTTATGCTATGAAAACCCCCCACGACTCTAGATCTGAAGTGTTCTCCACTTGGGACGTCCAAATCCCAAGAATCATATCATTTGTACCAAAAACAAGCAAGGAACTCCAAAATGGAGATCTAAATGATCACAAGGCAAGGTTCAAGCTTTATACTAGAAAAATGTCGTAGATGAGGCAAGGATTTTGGATCTATAAGCTCCTTCTTGAGTCCTCAAGCTTTTCCTTCTTCCAATGGCTTCAAGTATATAGTAAAAACAGTTAGAATGGCTCATAATCACTCACAATATCTTTAGGGTTTCGAGATTTAGGGTTAGGGACTTGGAGGCTGGAAATAAGGCAAACACCTTGGGGTTAAGGTGTTTAAATAGGGTGTGAACCCCAGAAATTAGGGTTTCATATATGCCAGCCTACTCGTCAAGTTGAGGCCTCCCAAATCGTCGAGTACGTCACTTAAAATACGCGACCCTTATGATCTCTACTCGACGCGTTTGGGGCTCCCAACTCATCGAGTTGCACTATAAAATAGAATGAATTATAAGTTAAATACATATTAGAACCGGACGTTACAAGAACAACCTATTTGTTCTTGTGGCTTGTTTTTGCAATGGATTTAATGTTAATACTACTTAATGGCAGGGGTGGAAGCAGGATTTCGTAGTAGGTGTTGGCGGTGATATTTTTTTCATGTAGTGACAAAATTGTAGAAAAAACGAAAAATTCAAAAAAAATATACATTGCATCCGAAAAACAGTGATTACCGATGCCACTATGGACATCATAGTGGAACCGCCCCTACTTAGTGGACATTCTTTGTAGCATTATGAGTTTTTTCATGTTTTCTTGGAAGGCCCCTTTTTTTTCTTTTCGGAGACCAATATAAGTTACATGTTTTATTTTTTCTACGTTAACACTAATCTTAAACATATAGAGTAATGACAGTAGGGATGGTAAAACACCAATAATTGGCATCAACTTGGAAATGACATAATTGTTGTCTGAAACACAATTGAATTGAAATTATAACGTTTGACCAACAATTTGAAGGACCTCAACAACTACATTACAATAATCAGACTAATATCGAAAGATAAAATCTTCCAACCTTAAATATATAGAAATATATGACCCCATGAGCCTTAAGCGAATAAAAGTATGATTATTGTGTGTATATAACGTTATATTGGAAATGAGCAAAACATTAATGCTTGCAAAAGAAAAAAAGCTCCCACAAAGCATTATGAGCTTAGAGCATCTCCAATGGTAAACCTATATCATAAGTCAAAAATATTGTCACTTCATTATTTTATTTTTATTGATCTCTAATTAAAATGTTTCTCCAATGGTTCAACTTTTTTATGACTTTTTTTTTGTAATCTAACTACTTTATCCTTATTTATTTAAAATATTATATAACAACCCCCCCCCCCCCCTCCTCGTTTAACTAATCATATTTTAAACACATTATATTTTAATATAAACATTCATTCACGTACAAACGATATATATATTACTATAACTTATATTTATATATTATATATTTGTTTATCTATAAATTTTAGATAAATAATAAATAAATCAAAATAATCAAAAGTAGAAAATAAAATATCTTTAAAGAGAAAGGGAGTGATTTGTTTAAACCTTTAAACTAGATTGATCACTCAATAATATATATTGAGGCGTCAATAAAAAAAAAAAGTCATGCACTCCAATAGTGTTTAATTTATTTGACTATTTAAACAAATAGTAATAATTTATAAAAAAATCACAATTGAAGATGCTCTTAGTTTGTTGAGGATCTTGAATTATTATAAATAAATACTAGTTTATAATCCGCGAAAACTATGATTATAAAATTAATTAAACTTTCATAATAAAAATTCAAAATTATTATTCAATTATTTTAAATAAATTATTAGTTAAGTGCTTTTTTTAGTTATATAAAATTATACTCGTTGATTTAAATAAATACGTGAAATTATATCTCTCATAATTTATATTAATTGTATTATAATATTATTAATTTAATGTAATTAAATAAAATTTTAAAATTTTAAAATTTAAAATAAAGATCAATACCTTAACAAGTGACATGATATTAATTAGAAACCGGATTACACGTCACAAAAAAAATAGAAAACTATTATTTATTAGAATATAAATATTTCATTACCAAGAAATAAATTAAAACCTTAAGAGTTTACTAAATTCCTCTTTTGTTAGACCAAGTTAATACATGAGTTCATCTTTATAAGTTCAAGAAAATGTTGAAAATTTTTTATTACCAAATGACAATTAGTTAATAAATCTATAATACATAGGGACCCTAGTATATATTCTTAACTCAAAGTCACAATAACCACTTACATAAACATGGTTTTTTGACCTACATGCACAAGCTATGAATTTAATTTCTACATGATGAAGATGACATATTGTAATTAGGCAACCGCACCACCATGTGAATCTAAATCTCATTAAAAGCGGTATCTATCCCATCCCCATCTTTCTCAATTTCACACTCACACTCTCATTCTCACTCACCACCGACACCCTTCCTCCACATGCCACCGTCTCTCTTTATTAATCTCCAGATCCAATTCCCAATCTGACTGATTAGTCTTCGGAATCCAGACATGGCTCCGCTCCATGTCCAAAGGTGTACAAAGGTACTCTTTTTGCTTGTTCTATTCGCTTTAATACTTGTACCTTCTTCCTCTACTCTTCAACCTCCTACTCGGAGAGCTTTGTTAGAAAAAATACAGAAACAAGAAGACTCAAATGGGGTTCAGCTGCCTCTCAAGAAGAAGACCGGTTCAGATACAAGTTCTTCTGCGTCTAGTACAACCACCGTAAACAAAAACAAGACCAAGCTCATCAAACCCACCTCCGCCTCCGCCGCCGCCGTCACCGGTGCTGCCATTGTTACCAAGCTAACCTCCAATAAAAACTCGACCAAAGCTACTAAACTTCAAGAGAAACCTATTGTGAAGAAGCTTAATTCGACTTCAAAACCTTTGAATCTTACAAAACCCACCTCTAAACCATTGAATTCGATATTAAAATCTTCGAATTCCACAAAACTCACTTCCAAAGCTACGAATTCCACAAAACCCACTTCCAAAACTGCAAATTCCACAAAACCCGTTTCCAAAACTACAAACTCGACAAAACCCGTTTCGAAAACAACAAAACCCACGTCCCTTTTGAGCCAAAAATCGATAGATCCAGTGAAAAAGAATAAGCCCAACACAACAGAGAAAAAGACCAAGTCAACGAAACCAGTCGGTGGTTTGACTTACCGAGAAGATGATGAAGACGATTTCGTTTCAGAATTCCGAGATCTGCCTTCAAGATTTCAAGAGACATTACTCCCGGATTTAGAAGTGATTTCAACGACTTCAAAAGCTTATCTAAACAAAGCCAATAAGCAACTCTCCAAAGGGTTTAATCCCATTGTAGGGAAGAAATATGCTCCCATGGTTGCTTCCGTTATCTCATTTGCATTCATTTTAATCCCATTTCTTCTCGTCTCCCTCATCTTCAACCGAATCAAAGCCTATTTCTCACTTCAAAAACTCATAATCTTCATCCAAATCTACCTCGCGATCTACTTCTCAATACTCTCACTCTCTTCACTCGTCACTGGCCTTGAGCCATTGAAGTTTTTCTACGCGACTTCGCAGTCGACTTACATATGCATTCAGGTGTTGCAAACTCTCGCATATGTGTTGTACCTTTTGGTTCTCTTGATGTACCTTGTGCTTGTTTTTTCAACGGAATCGGGCATGGTGTCGAAATTACTGGGTCTTGGCCAGACGTTTGTGGGGTTCGCTGTTGGGCTTCATTATTACATGACGGTGTTCCATAGGGCGGTGCTCCGGCAACCACCGAAGACTAGCTGGAAGGTTCACGCTGTTTATGCCACGTGTTTTCTTTTGATTTGTTTATTGGGTACAGCGGAGAGGAGGAAGAAAGCGTACGTGGTTGATGGCAGCGAGGAAGGCAAAAAGAGTTGATCGATTTACTTTTCTAGAATTTATTTATTTTTAATGTTTTTTTTTTCTATATTTTATTGTTTTTGAAGTCGTTTAAAAGTTTTTTTTACAAAATTATAGGTAGCAAACGTCTTTTTTTTCCCTTAAACTATGAGCGGAAAAATATGTCCGCGTTTTAGATTTTATTGGTTTTTGTGGTGTCTTGAAATTTGTGGGGTTTATTGGAATTAAATAATAGAGCAATAAATTGTAATGATAATTTGTCAACAAAAATATTGTTATTTAAAAGAAATATTATTTTAATTTGTCGATTAGTGTGATATTTGATTGTGGGTTGATGGTGAGTGTTCGAATCTAAGGTAGCAAGTGTGCTATGATTGAGCAACTACTTATGTAAAATTTTTAACTTATTATTTTGTATGGTTTTAGATAACATTTTTTGTACATAACTTTGTAGATTTTGACATCTTAGAGTATTTGACTAATCACATTTTAGAACTATGCGCAAACATATGTTATTGGATTTTTTTTTTCATCGAATATCCATACCAAAATTGGATCCGGAGAAAAAGATAAATAAGAGATAAAATAATCGGCATACAAACTAAAACCAATAACATGAGCCGTTTTTAGTGTCGGTTGTTAGAAATTGGGTATCCTAAAATGGGGTGTTTTTGCTAATCAACGAATGCTTCGGTTTCTTGAAAAGTGTAAGTTTACTTATGTTGATCTTTCTATAATATGGTTTAGTTTCAAGAAATTTAATATGAGAATATTCATGTTACTTTTTAATTTTATGCACAAAATAGAAAACCATGTACTAGATAGTATATGGAAAGTTCAAGATCTTAAGTATACCAAAAGTTTCTCTTTTTTAGTATATATAACCATGCACCTGAAAATAGAGGCGTTGCCTTTTGACCCATGCTTTTCATTGTGTCCGGACTCAAATTCGCTTTTTATCCAAGTATACGTTTGTGACTCTCCTAACTTGCATTAGATCTTAGTTTTAAGTCATGTTAAACTTATTTTAATTGCAATTATAATATTTAACTAATAAAACTAAACTCAACAAGATTAGTTTTTTTGCACGTGGTCGATAAAACCAATATTTAGCAATTTTACATTAGTCGTCCTTAATTATCATTTGAGTTAACAATACCAAATTTAGAATTAAAAATTAAAAAATTAAAAATTAAAAAAATTAAAAAAAAAATTAAAAAAAAAAAAAAAAACATATTAAATCTAAAACTACAACTAATCAAACCAAAACTCAAACACCAAGAACTTTTTGTTATAAAAATCGAATATTGAGACCGAAAATCAAAAAATGGCAAAGCTTTAAAAATTGAAAATGTATGAAGTAGAATATAGTGTTAGTGATTTATAATGTCTCTCATTACATTAAATTACAAGAGCATCGGCCATATTCTTGCAAAAGTCATGTGGGTTTATTCATTATACAAGTTGATGGTGTTTTTTTCTTTTTTAAGGAGAATGATACATATAGCTTACGATTTTTTTAGGGTTGACATTTTTTTTTTTTTGTGGCTTTATGAAGAAACCAAGTTATAGGATACCTCTATTTTTAGTTTTTTTTACTTGTTTTAGCCGGTTTAAGTGGTACATATATAAAATTTAGGGTCCACCTCTGTGTGTGTGTGTTATGTGCCCATACCCATGCAACCCACACGTGAAGAAGCCAAGGAGAAGTAGTATATTGTTTGCATGGTTAATTACTTATTGGTCCAATTTAAGTATTGCTTTGTTTTTCCTGTTTACCTAGGAGTTAGGATTGTGCTATAATAAAGGAGATTGTAGGGATGCCCAGGTTTCCATGTGTTCAACTTTTTAGGAAGTAGTGGTTTACGTGTCTTGTTTCTCTTTAAAGGGGAAAGAACTTGGTGGGAAAAGAAAATGGAAAATTGTTTCAAGAACCTTCTCTCTCAACTTCTCTGTTTCTTCCTCACCTTCTTGATCACTGTCATTCCGATTGATCCACAAAAGTGGTATCAGAGCGGTGGTGATCTATGGAAACTCGAAAGAAATCTCAAACTGATTTCCAACAGGAGACTGACGAGCGATTTACTAAACATGACGCAATGTTAGAAAAAATCATGGGTGGCTTATAGCGGTTGACAAGCAAGCACGACAAGAGAGACCACAATTCGTTGGGATCTGCATCTGGCAGTGGTAACCCAAAACCTTACTTGAAATTACACTTCCCACGTTTTGGGGGAGAGGATCCCAAGGGATGGCTTTATCAGGTTGAGCAGTACTTTGAGTTCCAACGAGTTGAGAAGGACGATCAAGTTCAGTTAGCATCGTTTCATCTAGATGGCATTGCACTCCAGTGGCACAGGTGGATCACCAAATTTCGTTGTCCCATGACATGGATTGAATTCTCCCAGGCCATTTTGGGACGATTTGGACCCACTGATTATGATGATCCAGGAGAGGCATTATCCAGACTAACACAAGTAACCACTGTCGCTTTGTATCAAGAAGTGTTTGAAAAACTATCACATCAAGTAGATGGATTACCAGAAGTATTTTTAGTGGGTTGTTTTATAGGAGGATTGAAAGAAGAAATCCGATTGGAAATTAAACTCAAGAAACCCAGGACCCTAACAGATGCAATCGGCATGGCTCTTTTGGTTGAAGAAAAACTCAATCTTCAACGTAAGGTTTCGATGAGTCAGAGACCTCCGACCCAATCCCTACCAACCCGATCCACCACCGCCTAAGGAATACTTGGCCCGGGTCCAACCCAACGATTCACCCTACCTGCATCACAATCGATCTGTCGGTTATCACAAGCCGAGGCCCGTGAAAGACGAGAGAAGGGGTTATGCTACTATTGTGATGATCGATACATGCCTGGTCACAAGTGTAGTAAACCACAACTGTTCATGATCAGTGATGTTAAGGACGTCGACAAAGGGAAGCCTCTTGACGATACTCAAGAACAAGTTACAGATGATACTCATGCAGAGATCTCGTTTCATGCAATTTCCGGATCCATTAATCCTTAGACTATCAGATTGCCTGGCAAAATCAAGAACAAGGAAGTCGTGGTATTCGTAGATGGGGGCAGTACCCACAACTTTATTGACCAAGCCTTGGTTGACCGGTTTAGTCTTGTAGTAGAGAAAGATACGCCCTTTAAGGTGGTGGTTGCCAACAGGCAACATGTTACTTGTGCTGGACGGGTCTGTAATTTAACAGTCACAGTCCAAGGTTACGTCATCTCTATTGATTTTTTTGTACTTCCGGTAGCAGCTTGTCTAATATTGCTTGGGGTTCAGTGGCTAAAAACTCTAGGACCAGTTGAAACGGACTACGACCAACTGACGATAGGGTTTCATGTGGGGGGATCATCATATAAGCTACATGGTTTAAAGAGTTCTGAGTTAGCTGCTTTGAAGGCTCACGAACTAATGGGGGTACATGGCACTGCCTTATTGCTCCAGATCAGCCCGGTCCCTATTATGGACCCGCCTGAACAAACTCCTTTACCGGACATTCAACAAGTCCTAAACCGGTTTGAGAAGGTCTTTCAACAACCCATGACCTTACCCCCTCCAAGGTTCCACGATCATGGAATTCCCTTACTTCCAGGAGCCCAACCAGTGAGCAAGCATCCGTACCGACAACCCTATCTACAGAAGGCTGAAATCGAGAAGCAGGTTCGTGAGTTACTTCAACAAGGGTTGATTCGACCCAGCCATAGTCCCTTCTCCTTATCCGTCTTATTGGTTAAGAAATCCAATGGCACATGGCGGTTTTGCATCGATTATAGGTCCTTGAATGATCTCACGGTAAAGGACAAATACCTGATTCCAGTGATTGATGAACTACTAGATGAGTTACATGGTTCTCGATTTTACTCTAAGCTCGATCTATGCTCCGGGTATCATCAAATCCGAGTACGTGATGAAGACATTCACAAGACAACTTTTAAAACTCACGAAGGCCATAACGAATTTGTTGTAATGCCTTTCGGCCTTACCAACACACCCGCCACCTTCCAATGTCTAATGAATGATTTGTTTCGACAGTACCTTCGTAAGCTTATCTTAGTTTTCTTCGATGATATTTTAATTTACTAAAAAACTCTTGGGGAACACGTGGATCATTTACAAATCGTCTTGGAAATTCTGGCGGCTAACCAACTCTTTGCAAAAGCTAGCAAATGTTGTTTTGGGGTCACACAGGTCAACTATTTGGGTCACGTTATCTCAGTCGACGGGGTGGCGATTGAGTTAGATAAAGTCCAAACCGTGTTATCTTGGCCCACACCTACCAACGCAAAAGGAGTTTGTGGTTTTTTAGGGTTGGCCGGCTATTACCGCAAGTTTATCAAGGGATTTGGGAGTATTGTAGCTCCCTTGCACAGGCTCGTGGGGAAGGCTCCCTTCCAATGGGATGTGCTTGCTGATCAAGCATTCCAAAACTTAAAAACAGCTCTCACAACAGCACCTACCTTAGGGTTACCAAACTGGTCCGTTCCATTTACCTTAGAGTGTGACGTGAGTGGAGTGGGTATTGGAGCCGTTCTTACCCAAAATGGAAGACCACTTGCTTATTTTAGTGCCCCATTGAAAGGAACCATGTTGTCATGGTCAACCTATGAGAAAGAAATGTTGGCGGTGATTAAGGCGGTGATTAAGTGGCGACACTACCTCTTGGGGTGCACTTTCGTGGTTAAAACAGATCATTTGAGCTTGAAATATCTTTTGGAACAACGTATCACTACACCAGCTCAAGAAAGATGGTTACCTAAACTCTTGGGCTACGATTACAAAATTGAGTACAAAAAAGGAGTTTCAAACAAAGGAGCTGATGCTCTTTCCCGACGACCCGAGTGTCACTTCTTGGCTATTTCTCATCCATGTTCACTTATTTGGGCTGAAATTCAGAAAGATGTCAGAACTGATCCTTATTATTCATCATTACCTTCTTCACTATCGGGTCATTCACATAAGAAAGTATTGCTTCGTGATGGAGTATGGTTTAGA